TAGTTGTCGGAGGCTCGACTCTCCTTAAGCTACATAAATATTCGAGCAAAATGTACGAAGTACTAAGCTCAAATAAAAACTTGATTCTTATTATTAATAAATCTTACTCGGTTCTCTCGCTCGATTAAAATATCATTTAATCTGGATTTAGATGCTTTGAGCTGTTCTGAAAAGATTTGCTGACTTTAAGGCATTCTAGAGTTCTCTGAAATATTTCTAAGTCTGGACTGCTTGTCTGATCTAACTTATCTGACTGATCTGATGTGATCTTATTTATCTGACTGGGTGCAACTCGACTTAATCGTGGTCCGGGTGCATACGCACGGACACGACATCAGCCGACGCACAGCTTTTCTACTCGGATCTAGAGTTCATCCGGACTGACCGAAAAAGGTCAAACTAGGGTTCTCTTCTCAACCGGCTATCTATCTCGGTTCAATTCAAAAACTCAAACTTTAAGTTCAACACAATTTCTAGTAATTTTAGCCAAGTCTCAACCGGATAAAATCTAGGGTTTTCACCAAAGCAGCTAAAGTCTCGAATTTGTAGGCATACCAAACGACCTCTAAAAATCATGAAATTTAAACCACGACATATTCATCATTTATAGGATTTTTCGTGAAAGTTTCATTGAATTCCGAGGTCTTTTCATATTTATAAAAAACCGGGCATTTTAGCTACATATTCAAAAATCCAGTTAACATACTAAACGAGAACCAAAAATTACGAAATTAAAACCTAGGCCTCAAGTCAGCTATACGAATTTTATCATATTTTTTTCGACATTTTTGACGCGTCTATCGAAAATATCAATTTATCCGCTTTAAGCTCGTGTGTACCGATCCAACTCAAATCAACATCTCAATTAATTCATGTCTCGTTTTTTCATCAATTTATTCCATATATCTCAAGTCTTTAAATATTATACCTCACGAGATCGGAAACGAGCGGATCGGACTAGAAAATGGAAGAAAAACGAAGCAAGAAGCCGGTCGGGTCGGACCGGTCCAACTAGGAGCTGTTTGGACCGGATTTGGGCTGTGTTGACCGGGTCAAAGAACCAGCAGCCGGGTCAAAGAAACCCAAACATGGGTTGCAGCAGATCTGGACTGACGGGTCGGAGTTTGGGTCGGGCTTGCGGATCTGAGCGCGAGTCTTGAGCTGGAAACGGGTGTATGAG